AAATATAGATGGTCTGATAGTGAGAGGCTAATAGTAATTGTTAGGATACATTTCCTTTCCCTTTCTGGCCAGATGCCCCTGGCTCATTTTCAGTCAGCAAATAGCTACAGAAGAACTATCCCCGTCTGCGCAATGCCTGTGCCTTGCTGTACGCGGACAGTGCCGTACAGCACAGGGGATGAGTTCAGGAAGGCCAAGCTACAGATGAAGCCTCCCCATTAACCCCCAGCAAAGGATGTGTGACATCACCCTGCCTGTAACTGGCACCTCTTTCTGGGAAGAGCTCCACAATAGAGCCGATCCCCACAGAACAGCCCAATTATTCCAGAGGCACATTCCAGCCTCTTCTATTACTCTGAGGGAAAAGTGAGCTCAGGTGGCCAACGGGTGGGATTCCCTGTTCACTGGATGATGGGCATCAGGTGCATTACAGCATCTTCCTGGAAAGAGGCACCCGCCCCATGCTGTATGGTGTCACATGTCCTTTACTGGGAACTGGTAGGGAGACACCATCAGTACCTTTGCATAAGCCATGAGTCCCACTCTCCTGGCAGGACAGGGAGCTCAGTAAAGTATGTGGCAGATGGAGAAGTGGGAGAGTTAGAAACCTTTAGGGAAGATCAGAATTGAGGATATTTGTGTAGCAACTGCCTCCATCGATTTTGGGGGCTTTCTTAGGGTGGACATGCTATTAGAATGGAAGACCAACAAATTAAGAAATGTATTTAGCAAGGAACCCCCCTGCATGGCTGGTGATCATGTGGCTGCCAAAAGCATCAGTGATGCGATAAGATCACCAGTGATGGACAGAAATGGACTATCCAGTCAAACCCACCTGACAGCCCTAGCTAGAGACCAATGTGGGTGGTGCTCATCAGGCAAGGAGGCTGTTCCTTTGGGATTTGCCATGATGATGATGATGACTTTCTAGGATCATGGGGAACTCACAGACAAAAATGGGAAGACAATTAAGGTGGTAACAGGCTTGTTAACCTCTACAGTGTAACAACATTACAGCCTATATTATTCCCTAGTAACTCAGGTTTCAGAGTAGCAGCCATGTTGGTTTGTATCCACAAAAAGAACAAGAGTACTTTTGGCACCTTAGAGACTAACAAATTTATTTGAGCCTAAGCTTTTGTGGGCTACAGTCCACTTCATCGGATGCATGTAGTGGAAACTACATACATGTGTAACTCAGTGTCCGTGGCTCACTCCCCACAGCTGCGGGATGCACGCCCCCGGTGACGGGAAAGTTCTGCGGCTGAACATGATTGCATGTGCTCTCACATCCTCTCATTTCTACTCCAGCTGTGGAATATTTTCACTTATTTAGAGTTAAAAAACCTGAATCCTATGTGTTTGTGGTCTCGAAACTGATGTCTTTGTTCCTAACAAGCGAATAAACGAAAGCATTTGACTTCAGAAGGACTTTGCTAAAAAAGGGATCATTCAACTCTCATGAATGTGGAAGTGTTGTTAGGAGGGTTTCTTCCAGGGATCAAATTGACTGGGTAGGGGGTTGGGGGGATAAATTCCATTTGAAATATGATCTATGGGCTGGGGTATAAGTGTAGGTCTCTATACACCCCTCAGTCCGCAGAGCATCTCTCATTGTTGCCAGAGGTTGTTTCTCCCAAAGATCAAAGACAGCATATGGTCTTTATCTATGTATGTTAGGGTTTTTTACTACTGCCTATGACCACTGTATCTGAATTGTGTCCAGGTAAACTAAATTGGCTTTAGCAAAGTCCCTAGCAGAATTATGCCATCATTAATTCATAAAGAGAGTTTTAACCAGATGATACCAACGTAAATATAATAATAATAATGAATAATTAATAAATTATAAATAATGATTAATTGTATTTTGTGGTATCATTCACTATTTGACAAGTACTTCCCAAATACATAACGTTGTATATAACAATTATACATTTTACCCTTGAGTTTATAAATCATGCTCATTGACCTGAATATAGTCCATAAATGTCTTCCATATATTATCAAATAAGAACTCTGTATGTCTGTGTATTCCCCTCTCATAGGGTGCCACTTAAGTCAAGCTAGATTTCCCTTCCTGTTCTGTTATCAAAGAATTATCATTCCAGAGCTTAAAATAATCCCCTTTGTTGCCATTGAACTAATTTCTAACCATGCTGTTTTCTTCAAGGGACCGACCAGCTCTGAGAGCATTTAGTGTACATGCTATCAAAAGGATTTAACTCTTTCTGTAATTTTAGTATTTTAAGCTTTTCTTTTGGTCCCTGTTAAGTGATGAGATGAATTTACAACAATTGACTCGTGCCCGGTCATATATAGGCACTAAGCAAGGTGCTTTCCCTTGTCCCTGCTGCTTTTTTGCACTTGCACTTTTGCCATTGGCAGTGTCTATTACAAACAGATTTTTAAGGTATTGAGTTGATGGGTGGTTCTGGGGGCAAAACCCACATTATTGTGGATTATACAGGCAGTGTCTTACTATTAGCGAATTATCAAGCTAAAACTATTCCCACCTCTCCGAAGAACGTGGAGGTTTTTGCAGTAGTGTCTGTTTATAACTAAATCACTCCAAGCCAGACATGTCATAGAGTCTGAAGCTCAGCAGTGGCCTGTCTCTATATGGAGGAGGTCTCACTGAGCACCCCCACAGGCACCATTGGGGCAGCCTCTGTCTGTGGAGCTCCTTGCTGGCAGAGAGTAGCTGGTACCAAGGCTGTCTTCGTCTAGAAGGAAATGGCATTCATGCCCTTCGCCAAGGGGCTACACCCACGCATACAGCAAACACCCAGCTGTCGTCACATCCTACCATGGTCTTACGTGTAATCTCATAATGGCCAATTGCAGCAATGACAGGGGCTGCTGAAAGGACAGTGTTGGTCTTATTGCAGCCTATGCAGTAACTACCCCCTGCTTCTAGACTGCCGCAAGTGCCAACAAAATGGTGATTTCAGAACATGGGTGGCCAAAGTGCCATCCATGCACCAAATGTCACCCGGGGGCTTGTGCCGTGCAGTCCATAGCAGCAGCCACTGTGAGTCTATGAGCCACCTTTAGTTCTGGGAAAGGCCTGTAGGTCCCACCATACAATCCCATCTTGATTTGAGTAGAGAAGCACATGGATCAAAATGGAGTGTACATGCTGGGAGCTGCAGTCTGTGCAGACAGTCTGCTCCATTGTGTACAGATTTGTGGTGATCCTGGCTGGTAGCTAACATTTGGGCCCCTCTGGTGCATAGGAAAATGGTACATCTGGAAATCGGCATATTCAGGGTCTCAGTGTAAAGATAGGTACAGCTCTAGCTGGAGCAGCCTTGCTAGAGGGGTTTTCCTCCTTCACTGATTCATGGCTGTTGGGAGTGCAGAAAAACAACTGTATCTAATTCTCGTCAACCCCACAGCATGGCTCTCTCCTGCTGCTATGCCTGTCATACTGTTGCAAATGACAGAATGCAGCTGTGGGTGCCAATTTAGGAGCTGGTTTGTTGAATCTGAGCGAAGTGCTTCTCAATGGGAGGCCCATCTCTCAGCCTCTTTGTATCTCCCACATGTGCCTCTGTCTCCAGTTCACATACAAAGTGAATTTTCTCCACAGCTTTTAGATGTCTTTGCAGTTGGAGTGTATAAACCGAGCAAACGTACAAATAAGCTAGCAGAGCAGGCAACTCTGCTGTAGAGCACAGCTCATTCTGTCAGGGATTCCATGTTTGGTGGGTGTCAGCACAAAGCCTGTTTTTCTCTCTACTAGATATGACAGATCCTTGGCAGAATAGCTAATTACACCTAACTCCAGGCCCTGCTGAGTACGTGCCTCCCCCATGGTGTCTGTACTGTGACAAGCAGCAACTCTGTACAGAATGATTCCTTGTACACTAGCAGCACAGAGTGGTTGTGCAGTGATCGTTTCAGACTCAAACTTTCAATGCCATCAAATGGATGTGGGCTCCCAGTTCCCATCAGAATTAGGCGACTTTGAAAATCTTATTGTCAGTTTTTCTCTGTATCTGAATGGGTCGGATCTTTCAGATCAAGGAGAACCAACATCACCCCCCCCCCCCAGTGCTCTTACAAAACCAGGACCTTTTCTGAGCTTCAAACGAGCTGAGTTGAGCATTTTTTTTAGTTATGGTGCCCCTCCCCCCTTACAATTTACAGTATTCTAACTCCAAGCATTTGAAAATGATGAGTCAGGAGCCTACCATTCATAATTCATAATAATTAGTTAATAATCAAGTAATAATTTTTAAATAATATTTTTGGATTCTTACTATTTGCCTTCTGCTTTCTGAGCTGTTAGGTCACACTTGCTTCACATTCCCAAGCTTTCCTCTGCACCCAAAATGGCTACAAGCTAACCTTAAAAAGAGGGAGCTGAAGTCTGGCAGGGCAGCTCAGCCCATAGAGGAGAGTGGGGACAGGAGGTACCGGAAATACAACTTTGATGAGGTACCACAGTGCCACTTCCAAATCGAAACATTTTTCAACCTAGGGACTGCCATTTCCCTATTTTTTTTTCCATTTCTGACTAGGAATTGATATTAGCAAGATAAACAGAATTCAACACTGTTAATATAACACTGAAAGAAAGTTAGTGAGTTTCAGTCGGCTAGCAGTCCCATTGATCTGCATTCTGAACTAAAAGTTGTTTTTGAAGCCCATCTCTAGATGAAGATACTTGGCTAATTTCATGAAGCTTTTTGTTGTCATTTGCGTACTGGATGAATCTGCAATAATTGTGCATTTTTAATGGCCTGAGAATTGGTTGAAATGCTGAAGGGACACGACTGATGCACATACAACAAACCAGTGGAGGCTGTGGTGCCACTAGGGGGTTTCATTGCTTTACATTGGATGAGTCATAATATTTAAAATTCAGAGTGCTGCTTCAGGCTTCAAAGCTACTCCCTCAGATTGATAACTCGGGAGCCTGACTCCATTAGTGGCTAAGTAAAAAGAAAACCCATTCATTTTCATCTAACAACCTTGTTTTCCCTTTTCAGAACAATCTGACAGAACTGAAGTCATTTGGATCGCCGCCTTCTGCTGTCAGCAATGTCACTGCTGCTGTGATGGTGCTTATGGCTCCAGGTGGAAAGGTTCCCAAGGACAGGAGCTGGAAAGCAGCTAAGGTTTCCATGGCCAGAGTAGATGGTTTCCTGGACTCCTTAATCCACTTTGATAAGGAGAATATCCACGAGAACTGTCTCAAAGCTATTCAGCCATACTTACAGGATCCAGAATTTAACCCCGAGTTTGTGACCTCCAAGTCCTATGCAGCTGCTGGTCTCTGTTCTTGGGTCATAAATATTGTGAGGTTCTACGAGGTGTACTGTGATGTGGAGCCCAAGCGGCAGGCTCTGAACAAAGCCAATGCAGAACTGGCTGCTGCTCAGGAGAAGCTGGCTAACATCAAAGCCAAAATTGCTGTAAGTTTAAGACACATGACACATGCATGCACTTCACTGGGAGCTGCCACTGCTCAGTCGGAAACCCTCAGCATCTGGAAGGGCTTTTTTATGGTACCATGTATTTTTGAAAGTGTGGATTCGAGGATTGGGCAGATTGTTGTCCTTTATCTGGTCTTGCTAGACTTTTGGAGACTTCCCTGCTTTCTAGAGAAGTGCGCTTAGCTCTGTTTCAAATTTGCTTCTTCCTTAATAGAAAGGCTCAGTATTCACCTCTCATTATTCCCACCTAAACTGTTAGAATTATTATCAAGCATGAGTTTGGGATGCCCTTTTATCACACATATGTTCTATATGTACCATATATGTTACAGAAAACAAAATCTGGAGAAAGTTTTAGAGAGTTTTTTAAAAAAAATGTACTAGGACTGTTTTTCTTCTCTTGTCTCCAACACGCCTTCTGCGCACTTGTTAAATTTTGCAGGAAGTCAGCTCCACTTTAGTAAGACTCAAAAGAACTGTCAAAGCAGGGCTTCTAACTGGCATATCTTATACTGCACCTCCATTTAAACTTTTGTCACTCATTAAAAATCCAGGAAAATCCCTGAGCAAAAAAATTTGTTAAGAGAGATGGTTAAAAATATGTTTCAATAGAGAGCAGCTCCCACCCCACTTCTTCCTCAGAATTATCCTTCCATTCCAAAAATTCCATACACTTTAAAATTCGTTATAATTGAAAAGTCTGGAAGTGGGCCTAGAAGGTAAAGTATACAGCCAGTTCCCTGGCTGCTATAACCCTGCATCACTCATTATCACCCCATCCAGCCTACACCATACAACACAAATCTGCAAATTTCAAAAGAACATATTCCTGGGCAATTATGGAATCCTGTTTCTTGTTCAAAAGATGTATCTTCAATATGCTATAATACTACACCATAATTCATTACAATAAAGCTGTGTGCGCTAGTTGCTACATCCAATAGTTAATTGAGATAAAAATACAAACTTGCAAGGTGTACCAACCCACAGTCCCCTGTAATGGAGACACCTCATAACACCAAACAGAAAAATAATTCTAGTTTAATTAATAAAAATATTTTTGTTTCATCAAAACATCACACTGTTAGAAAACATAATACTCTAACATTACTTAATGCATCCAGGGGATTAGTACCTTTGAAATCCTTGCTACCCATTCAGTTCAAAGTATATACAATCTAGAGCCATCTCCAATAATTCCACTGCCTGCAGATCAAAACAAGGAGCACCCTTAAGACTGAATAGGTGCTACTAAGTGATGAAGGATTATATGGCACTGGAGAACTGTTTGGATCCCTTCACTGTTATTTTAATTACACTTTTTCATGTTTGAGTTTTTTTAAAGATGTAAGATTTTTGCAGAGAAAGTGCAGCTGTGTTGGGGTATTAGTAATACTCCATTGAAACATGCTTTCAACCTTAACTTTTTAAATTACTTTTTATTTGCATATGTACAGTGCTGTGCTATTAAATGTGTAGTATAGTAGTATATACATATACAATCGTGTTGATATATGAATGTTGATATTTTACTAGACTTTCAACTGGCATAAATTGGCGTAGCTCCATAGATTTAAGTAGAATTATGCCTGCTGAGAATCTGGCCTCAAAACTGTAACACGGGGCTAACATTTTCAAGTGTAGCTGCCTAGTGGTATGGTACTTAAATCCATATTTTGGTCGTAAATGAAAGTGACTTGATTTTCAAAAGTACAGAGCACATGTATCTCCCATGTGCTGCAGTGCTCAGAATTTCTGGAAAAAAAAATGATGCATATTCACACACACACACACACACACGTATGTGTGTGTGTGTGTGTATATATATATATGTGTGATTATAAAACATTTAATAGTGTAGCATATATGTGTGTGTATTTATAGAGATATACACACATAAATATGAAAATCTAATATATATATATATACTCTAACAATATTTTAGTTATATGACTTAATGCCAAGCTGGTTTGAAAGAGACTGTATTTTATATTGGGCACTGGCAACTGAGAGCATAGTTACAGAGGCCACTACAATAATCCCTATTCCATGTTTATTTCTAGTGCATTGTTCAAACAGTGTTAAAATGATTTAAAGGCATTTAGCCTTAAGATGTTTATGCTGGTGCAGATAAAATCAATTATTAACTCTGGTTCTCTTATCTCAGAAGTGAAATGTTTCAAGAACTTTGGGAACAGTTAGAGTTTGTCTTAGAGCAAAGTGTGACCAAATCTGTCCATGCGATGAGTCCTCCTCAGCTAGCAGCATGGCTGCAATGAGGCCCTGCAGACTTTGGTTCCCTCTGTTCTTTTTCCAAAATGTTGGCTCTCCTTGGATGTGGCCCAAGTGTAGAAACAGCCCAGCTGGACCTGAGTGTGTATTGGCCCCATTCTCCAGTACCGCAGGAAGGGTTGGCACCCAACTCTGGAATGAAAAGTCCTCAGGCACTCACAGGAAGGACCTCCCTTGGTAGGAGAAGGGTAATTGTAGCAGCTCCTTGGTCACTCTCACTCCTGGCTGCCAGATCACAGAATCATAGAAGATTAGAGTTGGAAGAGACCTCAGGAAGTCATCTAGTCCATATGGTTTATACTCCCTTATGTCCGACTGACATCCAGCATTTAGAATGGTCCCCTGGGGCTGTGAACAACAAGCATAACTTAGAGCAGCCTTCAGGAGCAGGCCAGCACTAGGATGCACACATCTGAAAAATGCAAAGGTTGCTAAAAGTCACTTTTGCGCTTCTTCCTCCTGAGCTGCACTAATTGCTGCTTGGCCAGAGCTCTGGACCCCGGCCACCATCTTTAGTCAGCCTGTGATCCCCTCCCTTAGTCCAAAATCATGTCAGAGCAGTGCCCAAGATAAACAGCCTTTGCACTGTTTGTCCATAGTCCTTTGCAAATTATGTGGCCTATCATGTAAACAGAGTTCCCTAGCATGCTGCTCCTCCCATGCCCTCTCATGCTGTTTTGCAAGGGCCTGATCCAATGCCCCTGGAAATCAATGGAAGGACCCCAACTTGACTTCAGTGGACATTGGGTTGGATCTAGGGTTGCCAACTCTGACTGAAGCTATTCTGGGAGGGTATTTTTTACAACATGACATAATGTCATTTTCTTAAAATATCCTATTAAAATCTCCCAGATTGTTTTCAATAGTCACTGGGAGATTGATGCCGATTTCGGGAGACTCCAGGCCAATCCTGGAGGGTTGGCAACCCTAATTAGAGCCTAAGTCATGTATCCTGCTGGTGCTGAGGGTCTCCTACAAGTGGTCAGCACGTTGCAGGCCGTGCTCACAGTCTTGCAGGCTGAGACCCAGACATGAGTGCTCTATGCAGGAATCCTGCCTTCTCTCATTGCATTGGCCATTCAGAATAACAGTGAGAGAGGCTAGCTAGGGGGTCACCACTGCAGAGACACACGCAGTGACAGCAATTTTTGTAGGAGTCTTTTATGATGAAAAGGGTTTTGCTGAAGATGTTCTGATTTTTTCATTAACAGCACCTTAATGAAAACCTAGCAAAACTCACAGCCAAATTTGAGAGGGCTACTTCAGACAAACTGAAATGTCAGCAAGAAGCTGAAGCTACAGCATGCACCATCTCACTTGCAAATCGACTGGTGAGTATCAACAGCTTGAACTTTAATCATAGGAATGGAAGTTGTCAGGTGCTATGGAGATGTATGCCATGAGAACACAGTACATTGCATCTTCTAACATTTCAGAATGCATGATATTTCCTGCATAGCTGCAAACTTTAGTCATGAAAACAGTGCTTCAAGTACTAATGATGTGGCCATTCCCATAACTCTCTGTATACATCTGGGTATGTTCGAGGCACATTTACATTTCCAATATACTGAACATATACAATGATAGAGGCACAGCCTCTTATCTCTGTTATTTAATGTTCTGAGCAGTTAGTGATAGATCAGAACTGCAGGACTAAAGACAAGACGCTAATAAGACAAGAGCTGTATTTGCTTTTCCATGTAATGATATACTGAAAAGCACATGAACATTTTTATATTTTTTCCAGTTTTAAAAATTAATAAAAATGATTAATAAAGAATAATAAGAGGAAGAAAGTGGTAACGCATAAAGGTGAGTTTATGTGGCCCCCTGCTACAGTCATGTCTGAGCACCTGCAGTCTGGGTTTCGTTTATCCTCACAGTAACCCTGGGAGGCAGGGCAGTGCTGTTATCCCCATTGCACAGATGGGGAACTGAGGGAAAGAAAGACTAAGTGGCCTGCCCAGGATCACACAGGAAGTATGTGGCAAAGTAGAAACTTGAACCCTGGCTTCCTAAATCACTGCCCTAAGCACAGGACCATATGGAGCACTCACTCACAAGGACCGTGTTTAGCAGGGGGAGAGAGGGAACTAAACGGGCTGGTAAAGGGATGGCACAAATCACTTCCCTTCTTCCCCCCTTCTGGAGCAAGGGGGAACCAGCTACACGCTATCCCTTATGCAGGTTGCAGTACACAGTGACAATCTAGTCCTAACAGTGCAACAGCCGCTATTATTAAGCTCTATTTTTAGGCCCTATAACTTTGGGTTAGAAAGCTCGTTTGTGCTGAAAATTGCCAGATTGACTCTGAAGGCAAAGGGGAATGTGGGTTCAACGTTGGAAGAAAAGTCATTAAACTGTTTTTGAGTTACAAATCGTTTAAAAATTATCCTGATTTGAAACTTTGACTTTTGTCTCATGCCTCTTTGTTCACCCTTGCTGAAAAGCAGCTGGTCACTACTGCTTCATATAGTTAAATCTCCTTTTCACCTCAGGTATGGGGTATTTGAAGAAAATACATTGTAATTCAGCAAAGCTGTTAATGATTTTGGATGTGGTGATTTTGGGGCCTGTTCCTGTTCCCTTGGAGGCCAATATAAATTTTGTTGCTATTGACTTCAGTGGAAGCAGGACTGGGCACTATGGACCTGATCCAAAGCCCTTGGAAGTCACTGGAAAGCCTCCTGCGGACGTCATTGGGATTGAGCTCTATAGGTGTGGCTGGTTGCTGCTGAAAAGGACATGCAGATGTTTCTGTAGGGGAGAGCTGAAACAGATCATTCTGTAGTTCAAATGGCTGGAGGCCGGTGCTGCTAGAGCGTGAGGACCCCAGTCCTGGCTGTGCCTCAGAGCTGGTGTTTGCTCCAGGCTTCATTTCGCAGCAGCAGAGAGGAGACGGTTTAGGGGGCTAGCCTGAGATGCAGAAGACTTGCACTCAGTTCCCTGCTCCACCATATACCTGCCTGTGTGAGCCATTTAAACCCAGGTTGTAAAGGTCTTTAGGCACCTACAGATGTAGATAGGCACCGAGTAGGGTTTTCAAAAGCTCTTGGTTGCCTAACTCCCATTGAAATCAATTGGATTTAGGTACCGAGGTTCTTTGGAAAATGCTTGCATCTTTAGGCGCCTGCATATCTCTGTGCCATATTTGTCCAATGGGAATAACAGCATTTCCCCCTCTCCTGGGGGTGTTGTGAGGGTAACTGCATTGAAGACTATGAGATGCTTGGATACTGTGGCAAGGGCCGGGGGGCAGATGAGCACCTGAAACAGACAGTCCCATTCTCAGGCTGATGCCGATTCCTTTGTATCTGAAGAAAGAGAACATCTCTCACTTCCAGAGTTCTAGGGTTAAATCTCACTGGCAGCTAGAACGTTTTCTGAACATTTTGTTTAAATCCAGTAAGTATGTTTTGAAATGAAAAGACTTTAACACAGCTCCTCTGGGAGCTTTTGCAACGTGACTGTTTCTTTGTGTCCCTCTGTGAGGATTGGGAGGTCTAGTTGTACAAGCTGTGAATTCTGCATGCAGTTATGGGCTCTCGATGTATCTTTACCAAGCTGCAAACTCCATTTGGAAGGTGCAGGCTTTTTTTCTTTTCTGTTGTTCTTTCACCTCCATGTTGGACTGAAATTCCAACAGGGGTAGTGGCAGAGGCCTAACAACAGAGCTGTTAAACCTTGCTGCTCCCCTGTTCACAAAGGATGCACCTAGACAAAAGGAGAACTGGTTTGTCAAGGGAGGGATCACCTTGGCAACAAAGTGAACCAGCAGGAGTCTGTGATCACCTGAGGAGGCTGAGTGGGATGTCCCCTGACAAAGGGGGCTGGAAGATATAAAAAGGAGGAGCTGCTGTTCTGCGTGCCCTTTTTCTCTAGCTCAAGAGGAAGGAGAAGCAGCCCAGCATGTAGGAGTCTGATGAGGGAACCCTGCCTACCTGCCTGAAACACAGATGGTCCCCAAGGACTCCCCGGGGAACCAGGAGCTAGTGAGGGGCACTGCAGTTAGGATGTTTGCTGTTTTCTAAATGCTCTGTGCTCTTTGAGTGTGTCTTGTGCTTTGAAGAGCAAGAATCTGTTGGCTGTCTGTGCAAAGCCTGGATGTGTTAAGCATTTACACCTACGTGTTGCCCCTGGAAGAGGTAACCGTGAAGGCTCACATCTCGAGGTGGAGTTCTGCGAGGGGATATTGAAGCCGCTGGGGTGTCTGAAGAGCCAGCACTGAGTCCAGAGGTGAAGTGGCTGGACAGTGGGTTCCAGCTCTGAGGAGTGGTGCTTGCCAGAGAGTCTGTACCTCAGAAAGGTGCCTAGGGACCCAACGTAGGATAGTGGTTTGGCTGTGTTCAGGCCCCAGAGACGTAAAGCGGCTGGGTTCCCTCACAGCAGTCTAGTGAGCGGCCAAGAGCTGGACCAAAGCTGTGACAACCTCAGTCTCCCCACTGAAGTCATGTTACACTGTAGCGTTTGAAATGTCGGCAGATTGTGATGGGGGCTCATGCAAGATTCAGTTTTTGAAGGCAGGAGTGATACAATTATTCCACCCACATACAAAACTAACATGTTATTCCTTTCAAGTATAAAGAATTGCACAGCCCTTCACCCCTAGCTTCACTCAAATCCAAAACTATGTACAGTTCTTTCCTCAATAAACTCAAAATGTAGACACAACAAAAAAACCTTCCAGCAAAAAAACCTAAAAATCCTGGCTCCATCTTTGCCCTTTCTTACACGTGTTGTACATTGCCTTCAGCTGAGTAATCCTGATTTCTACCAATGTGATTGAGAACAGAATCTGGTCTCCTACGTGTGCAATCAATTGCATATACTGATCAGCTTGAAGTGCAAGTCTACAATCATACATAACTGTAATCAGGAATAATGTTATACACCTTTCCTGTTAAACTGCCCAGAATTAGTCTCAAGAACCAACAATTATAAATGCTTTAACAAAATTATCTCTCTTGTTGAATATGTTAACTAGTAATATTTTCAGTTTAGCAAAATGACTTGAAAGGAAACATTTTGCTTCTGAAACACAAATAATACATTTTAAAAAAGCAATTAAGAAATAACCCTATCCTTGGGTTAGAGGTAAGGTGGTTGTTATGAAGTGTGCATCTCCTCAATACTTGATAGTAATGTGTTTGTTGCATAGGATTTTTTTAAGTGATATGAAAGATAACATTGCTCTCTCTCATCAACTGTAATTGTTTGTAAATGAAGGTTTTGGCTTGGGATTTTACTACGCTTAAAATAGTTAATCATTAGATTCATACATCTCTGTGAAAATCTGATGTCTGTGAATGAGATACTTTGGCTGTTATGTTGTGTTGTAAAGAGGGCATAGAAATGGTGCCTTCCTTGTCAAACTGGGAACAGAGAAGAGGTGTGTCAGCAGTACTGGGAAAGGGCAATTCTAGTCTCACTATTTTTATTAGGAAATATTGGAGACAAAGGAATATTTCCAAAAAGACATGAGATCTCCTGCCATAGGGACATGCTACATTCCAGCGCCACATGGAGACTTTGGCATCTTTAATTTCTCCTTCAGCTGACAGGATTGGCTCTGGAGTCTCAGCTCCAAGGATCTATGGTCAGGCCGGGGACACTTGGCATTACCTCGGATTCTGTATAGGCAGCAACCCTTTATGGTCCAGGTGCTCTCGCTCCTGCTGATCATAGCTCCAAGGGTGGGACTGAGTAGTAGCACTGGTAACAATTCATTTAAAACATCAGAGAACCATACCTATCCATACTAGAAAAATTCGCTCTCAGAGTTCATGCACACCAAGTAAGTGAAATAATTAAAGCAAACAGTGAACAGAAGGTACTAGACACTTTCCCCATCATACTCTTCTTTGGCATTATGCAAACTAGCATAAATGTTGTACAGTTCCATCTTTTCACCAGTGGGTGTCACTAGTAATTTCTAAATCCATTTCAGTATTTTATTTACAAAGAGAAAAAAGTTTATGCAAGGTGCTTGTCGAAACATGTAAGAAGAGAGCAGGAACAGTGAATTAGCATATAGAATGGTCGTGTAATTAAGAGAGAGCTGGTAGAGTTCAGGGCTTTGTTTAGTGGCCATATGCAGGACATTTTTTGACTGCAGGCATTATATTTCTAACCAGGATTTTTTGTCCTGCCAGTCATTGTTGGGATTTACCTGGCATTGGACTAATACAATTGAGATGAAAATGGTCCTTGCCCCAGTACAGCACGTTGTTGTGTTGAGGAACACAGGTTGTCCCAGCCTCCCATGTTTGCCAAGAGAAATACAGCCCCGCTTGTAAACTAGCTTTGCCTTGTCTGTAAAATAACAACACACAATGAAAGTGAGAAGGGGATGTAAATCTGGACTGTCAGCCTAGAAACCCAGAGGACTTAACTTTCCTGGCCATAAGGCTCTTCTGTCCTTTCCAGAATCCCTAAGAATTTCTCCGGACCATTCCTGTCCATCCTTCTGGCTGAAAGAGGTGAGCTCCAGCTCCAGCCCCGCCAGAGCCTGTCAAAGCCATGTCCTCAGGAAGGGCTGGAAACAGGACATTTAACCCCCCTGTGAAGCCACTAGATTGTGGCCTCCCATCCCTTTAAAAGAAAGTTAGCTCCCACTACTCTCTTCCCTGTGACCTGCGTGCCCTTTTGGCTTCACCAAGACACTGCCTCCTTGGCTGGATAAAGATTGCCCTCCTATGACTTCCTTTATGCACTGATACAAGCAAGTTATGTGTTACTCTCCAGACATTGCTAGTTACCACCCTTCTTCTTGTAACTGCTAGTTCGAACAAAACATCCTTAGCCATTATCCTGCCATGCCATCCTTATCTTAGAAGGGGTCGGTGTGTCCCGGTACCATCTCTTAAGAATGTGTTTATGTAGTTATTTGAGAACTCTGGGTGTTCTTGCACATCTTCTCTGGTCAGGAATGTGCTTACTTGGTTAGCCAATACCTAGTGTGTTGTTGTTATGCCAAGGCCAGGCCTGCTTTGGTTCACACCATTAGTTATGTCCCGGGCTCCAGCAAGGCCTACATCCTAGGGAGTGAGAGGAGGAGAGAAAAACTGACTGGGGAGCCGTCTCAATTGTCAGACACCTGCCAGCCGGAGCTGTACAAAAGTGTGAGGCCCCAGGAATCCAGCACTCCCTCTCAAGCAGCCAGGAAGGTGGAGTGTGCTGGGTGACATCCCCGGACTCCACTGAGAAAGGCAGCATCTTCCATGCTGATGTCTGGCCAGGGGACAGAGTCTTCCATCTCTTGGCGCTGGGCACATTTTCCAGCCCTGACAGTCACATATTTTGCTAAGAGATAAGAGTATTTAGAGAAGCATATACTGCCCCTGTGCTTTGATAGGGAGAAAGAGGATTATCCATTAATATTGTTATTTAGATTACCTCAGGGGATATATACGGACACATCGCCTGCCCCACAGAATGTGCACCCTAGAATGGATGGGAGGATGAGGCAAGGAACAAAATTGTTCCTTTTGCTGTACACAGTGTGCTGCTGCAATGTCTCTTGGTGCAGTAAGGAAAGATTTGAAAACAGATACCTCGGTAATGCTCAGAATTCACATAACATCAGATACAGAGTTAATAATGCCCCCAACCACTCCTGAGAGCCCTTCCCACTCTTCACACCTCTCTGGAAAAGCCAGAACAGACAGAGAGGCCTTGCAGCTTGCCCAGAAGGTCAGCAAAGTCAGGCAGCTTCAGACCAATGTGAGATGCAGTTCCAGTGGAGATCCCCTTGCAACCACATTGCAGAGGTATGGGTGGCACCACGAGGAGGTGATCTGTCACACAGAGTCATATGTTTCATGACGTGTTACCATGATCAGAACTCAGACCTTAAAGGGCTCTTGGTCACAACGACGACTTGGGGAAATCCATTGGAAAGCAGCACTCTGGGGTGCACCATTCAGCTCCATGCATGAAATCCCTCTGAGCAACTGCAGGCTGCAGCAGCTGTCTTCACATCAAGCCATTCAAACCACCCCTGCAGTTTTCAGCCTTTGAGGAGCTGTAGGAAGATGAGAACAGGGAGTTGAGTGATCCAAGGGCACTGGGAGCCACCAGCGTAGATAAAGAAGCCCGTGATCCTGGTTGGCCTCTTGCTGTGGAGATGCCGTGGCCTTGGCCAGCTGTGATTCAGATATGAAACAATGACTGGCTTGCTGCTGCCTCCTGGTGCCAGAAGGGTGTGACCCAAGGGGCAAAGGACAACCACCAGGATTCTCCACTTGCTGTCGAGCATGTGGGAACCAGTGGCAGGAGCAAAAGGAGATGGACAGAATCCAGGGTAATTTGGGACCCGAGGAAGGGCTGACAGCAGGGTCAGTGCAAATGACAATAGGAAAGGGTCTTCCCATGATGATGGAAGTTGGAAGGCTGAACTCAGGGGCCAGGCCAAAGGAATCTTAGCTGTTGTACATTATGCCTTCTCCCAGCCCCTTTAGCCTGTATGAGTTTGGATCCTTAAAGCTCAGTTAGAGTCCCATTAGCCTTGGCTGCATTACAGAATGGAGCTGGTGCAGACAGTGACTCTTAACAACAGTTGCAGCTGAAGTGGTGCTGAGCACAGTTTATCTGAGGGTGCCGACAAGGACAGACAGTGCTGGCGCCAGTTTCACCAGTGCTGGCTGCAGCTGCTGTCTGGAAGAGTTCAGTTTTACAGTGCAGACAAGGTCCTAAACTCACACCCACTTCTCAGCAGATAATTCAAACTTCCTTCCCTATCACCTCCGAGCAGGGGTGCTGGAAAAAATTGTATAGTGGGGGTGCTGAGAGCCATTGAACCATACTGTAAACACTGGAAACCATTTCAAGCGCCCCCCACCCCAACCCCTAATTCCAACACCTAGGCCTCCGAATGTGGCACAGTGAATCTAACCCAGTAATGCAAACATCTAGGTCTTAGTCTTGCTCCCAGTTACTCACATCTGGCTTCAGTGGGACTTCCACCCACTTAACTAAGCCCACAGCAGATAGCAGAACCATACTAGGGTGACCAGACAGCAAGTGTGAAAAATCAGGACGGGGGTGGGGGGTAAGAAGAGCCCATATTAAAAAAAAAAAAGCCCCAAATATCGGGACTGTCCCTATAAAATCAGGACATCTGGTCATCCTAAGCCCTGCGCAAACAGTTTTGAGGACTTATAAAGAATACATCCTGCTGTTCTGGACTGAAAGACAAACCTGTGGATGAAGGGAATGCTGTTACTTTTAGTATATCTGAATTTTAGTAAAGAAACTCACAGAATTAATTCAAATTGGCTTGGATAGAAGTACTGTCCCATGGATCTCCAGTTGGCTCAAGGACCAAGAACTGTAGTGTGCTTAGTTGGAAAGATGTCTGCCAGGGGCATGATAAGGATCCATGTTAGGTCTGGTTTTATTTAACGCCTTATTAGTGACCTGAAGACTGTGAAAGCAGCATATGAATGACATTTTCATGAGCTCCTTAGTTGGGGAGACTTTGCAAATACCAAGTAAGGGAGAAAAATCACACAAAGGGCCTTGGAGGCTTTTAAAAAATAGACAGAAAACAGATTCAGTCTAGAAAAGTGAAAGGGAATATATGTAGGAGAAAATCATCGCAAACATAGGCAGGCCATTCAGTGGGCGAAAGCAACACAAAGCACCATTGCTGAGGATGACCTGGGATTTAGATATAAGTTTTCAGAGCATCATTGCAGCAGGGAAAGGGAATGTGATTTGGGGCTGCAACCTCCAGTATTGCCAACTCTAGGCATTCAGAAATCACAAGCTTGGCTTAAAATCATGGGATTTTTTACAAGTAATACATTTGGGCTCTTTTTCTGTACCTTTTGCTTCCTGAATCTGGGGGGTGCATTCAGTTCAGGTTTTCAAGCTTTTCTCCATGACCGGGAGGGTGAAAACCTTTAAAAAAAAAAAAGGAAGCTGAGAGTCTCTTGTAATCATACAAGGAGCTGGAGCTTTAAGAAAAGCACCAAATTTCATGAGTCTTGTAATAAAGCCACAGGAGTTGGCAACACTGCTGACTGATGGAGACATCCTGCTCATACTAGTCCCTTTCTGCGAGACTGGTAAGATCACAGCTCGAGTGCAGGTACATTCCTCAGCAATCTAACACCAGCGACATGTGCAGAGATTTGCTTTAGTGGACTAGGGATGGGTTTAAAGTTAAGTGTTTGCAGGACTGAGGCCTTAGCAAAGAGCAAGACGGAGACCAAGTGGTTTATGAAGATTGAGTATATCTTGGCCAAATGAGGCATGAATTTGGGTAATGATAACTGTCTGAAATAACTGAAGGATCTAAATCTCAAGGAGGGAGAGGAATTACTGAGTGTGGTCCAAGGGAGTGTAACTAGGAGTGAATGGATGAAACTGTGGAAATGAACATTTTTGGTAGTGTACTCGGTAAAACTTCCTTATAGAGAGAGGAATATTCTTGCCAACAAAGTGGCGGATCCTTTTCTTGGGTCATGTACAGCTAGACTGGCAAATGGTCTAGGGATGTACTGCAGGGGGTGGTCTTTCAGTGGATGGGGAGGAATGGGCAAAATGCCTAACAAATCTTTCTATCTTTGGTTTTAAAAACATATCAAATATTATTTGAAGTCAAAGAGTGACAAGACATGTTAAAGTACTTGTGCATCGAAAAAATGCTCAAGGAGTCCATCTAAAGGTTAATTTTATGTTGGAATTTTAGGTTGGGGGACTCGCCTCTGAAAACGTGAGATGGGCAGAGGCTGTGAAAGACTTCAAAGAGCAGGAGAGCACATTGTGTGGAGATGTCTTACTAATCACAGCCTTCGTCTCCTACCTGGGTTACTTTACGAAGAAATACAGACAAGACCTGATGGATGGAGTCTGGAGGCCATACTTGCGCCAACTAAAAGTAAGCACTGACTACTTAGGATAACCATTGTCCCTGTCTCTTACAGGAGCATAATGTCTGACACCCAAGGAATCGCTGACGAACAATGGCTTCCATTGAGAGTTTGCCACAGGCCTGAGTAAGAGGCAACACATAGTTGTACTGCTCTACATGCACACCAGTAACCAGATGGTGATTCTGGAGCTCACCGTCTGGTCCCTGGTCTCACCTTGCTCTGGGCGGGGGCAGTAATCTGTGCTCATTCTCAATGGGGTTGCTACCCCTCCTAGCAATTTAGTTATAAAAGTGACTGGCTTTCAGAGGTGCAGCGCATCTGCAGAATGCACTGAGCCACTGGGAAATGAGGCTGCTCTGGATGTGGCCTCAGTGTTAGCCCTGTAGAATTTTGGCCATGAGTAAGAGAGACGCTCCCAAAGGGAAAACAGACTGGAGGGAGGAACATAGCAAGAGACTGGGCCCCATGAAGGCGGAGCAGATCCAGAGATCTAGCCCTATTCTAGGCTGGCAAGTGGGCATGAGAGCTCCATATTTTTGTGCATGGAGTTGATGCTGGCTTCATGAATACTTTGCTGCACGTTTCTATGTGTATCTCACGGGAAATATGGACGGGCCCTTTGGTTTGTCTGGATTTGGGGCTGCCCTGATGTGTCAGAAGTCCTGCCTTCACTTCATGGTTCAGGTGGACTAGCTTCCCGGCGTGTTTTGCCCACGTCACCCCGTCAGTGACCTGATGCAGGCAGGAGCAAGTCAGACATAATTGGTGGCTTTGTCACAAAGTGTTTTCAGTGGAGCCACTCGTGCTGTGCTGAATCGGAACCAGAGTGTTCAGCAACTTGCAGGGTTGAGCCTTTGTGCAGCAGTAACTTAGTGAACATTACAAGCAGATGTGAAATGCTTAGAGGCTTTTTAATATAGCAAAAACTGAGTGAAGTGATCCCCATACTTGGAAGTTTGAGAAAGCAACAGGTGCCAAGTGATGATGGCAAAAAATCATGATATGTCCCTTCTTCTTCAAGAGATGGTCCCTCTTCCACTGTGAGTTTACACAGGCACATCATGTGCCTGGGGATGGAAAATCTGAAAGTAGTGTCTGTTGGTTTGCGCATGCTCACTGACTCTCCTCGTGCCTCTGACTGAGGGGATAGAGGGTGGGGTAGGGGACCAACCATCTCTCCAGTTCCTTCTCACCACCACGTGGTCCGGGGCGGAACTAGCTTCAGCTTCATCCTACAAGATAAGATTTACATTTAGCTTTGTAAATGTTTTAACAGCTTGTACATTTTTTACAGTTTAGTGTTTTATAGATCTCTTAGTGTTTAGATTTAGTCTCTTTGGGGGGACACCTCCACTCCCCACATACATACAGGGCTCTGGGTTTTAAACTCTGCGCTTCCTGCCAGTGATCCTTCTCGGTCAGCAATAACCACCAGTACTGCCTGGATTCCCTTGGGCAAGCCCACATCACGGTGAGGTGCAGTATCTGCTAATTATTCTCCAGCTATACCCTGGAAGGGTGGGAACTTGGTCATAAAACCATAAGAACGGCCATACTGGGTCAGACCAAAGGTCCATCAAGCCCAGTATCCTGTCCTCTGACAGTGGCCAATGGCAGGTGTCCCAAAGAGAATGAACAGACAGATTATCGTCGTGATCCATGCCCTGTCACCCAATCCCAGCTTCTGGCAAACAGAGGCTAGGGACACCATTCCTCCCCATCCTGGCTAATAGCCATAGATGGACCTATCTTCCATGAATCTATCTATTGAACCCCATTATAGTATTGGCCTGCACAACACCCTCTGACAAGGAATTCCAGAGGTTGACAGTGCGTTGTGTGAAAAAATACTTTGTGTTTGTTTTAAACCTGCTAACTATAAATTTCATTTGGTGGCCCCTTGTTCTTGTATTATGAGAAGGAGTAAATAACACTTCCTTATTTACTTTCTCTATACCTCTCATGATTTTATAGACTCTATCAGATCCCCCCTTAGTCGCCTCTTTTCCAAGCTGAAAAGTCCCAGTCTTATTAATCTCTCCTCATACAGAAGCTGTTCTATACCTCTAATCATTTTTGTTGCCCTTTTCTGAACCTTTTCCAATTCCAAGATATTTTTTTGAGATGGGGCGACCACATCTGCACACAGTATTCAAGGTGTGGGCATACCATGGATTTATATAGAGGCAATATGATATTTTCTGTCTTATTATCTATCCCTTTCTTGATGATTCCCAACATTCTGTTCGCTTTTTTGACTGCCACTGCACAGTGAGTGGATGATTTCAGAGAACTATCCACAATGACTCCCAAGATCTCTTTCTTGAGTGGTAACAGCTAATTTAGACGTCATCATTGTATATGTATAGTTAGAATTATGTTTTCCAATCTGCATTACTTTGCATTTATCAACATTAAATTTCATCTGCCATTTTGTTGCCCAGTCACTCAGTTTTGTGAGATACTTTTGTAGCTCTTCGCAGTCTGCCTGGGATTTAACTATCTTGAGTAGTTTTTTATCATCTGCAAATTTTGCCACCTCACTGTTTACCCCTTTTTCCAGATGGTTTATGAATATGTTAAATAGAACTTGGCCTAGTACAGATCCCTGGGGGACACCACTATTTACCTCTCTCCATTCTGAAAACTGACCATTTATTCCTACCCTTTGTTTCCTATCTTTTAACCAGTTACCAATCCATGAGAGAACCTTCCCTCTTACCCCATGACTGCTTATTTTGCTTAAGAGCCTTTGGTGAGGGACCTTGTCAAAGCTTTCTGAAAATCTAAATACACTATATCCACTGGATCTCCTTTGGAGACACCTTGTGGAGAAGGCCATGAGGCCTCAAACATATCCAGGCTAGGGCGTACCCTCTGTACATCGACCTGATTCAGCAAGGATGCTCCTTCTGGTGCGAAGTCTGACTCTGGTGTGGCAGTGTCTATTCCCACAGAACCCCTGGCGGGATCTTGTCAGGAATCCAGGAAGCACTCTCATAAGTCTGAGACTGTCTTCCTCTAAATCCACTTCCAAAAGTTGGATTTAACTCTGAGCAAGCCCATCAGCTTGGCCCATGAGGAGTCCTAAGTCTAGATAAATTCATGTAGGATAGGTCCATCAATGGCTATTAGCCAGGATGGGCAAGGATGGTGTCCCTAGCCTCTGTTTGCCAGAAGCTGGGAATGGGTGACAGGGGTGGATCACTTGATGATTCCTTGTTCTGTTCATTCCCTCTGGGGCACCTGGGATTGGCCACTGTTGGAAGACAGGATACTGGGCTAGATGGACCTTTGGTCTGACCCAGTATGGCCGTTCTTATGTTCTTGCATCCCAAAGGCATGAAATGAAAGCCCATAAGGATTGGGATACATTGGTATGGGATTACAATCCATTGATACCGTCGTCCTCAGCATCTCCAAAACAGCACCGATGAAGACTGATCATCAGCTTTGTCTATCCACGTGATCATCTTCCTCAGCAGTTACACAATCTCCTCTGGCTCCAGCAGCTCAGACAAGTAGACTCCCTCTCGCATCGTAGAGATCTGAATCCATTGCTGTGCCACAGGACATTTTTGCTGTCCCAGATCTGGAATCCCCTCCTCCATCGAGTCCTTCTGTCTCCAAAGAGGAAATAACATCATTGAGGGAGTTGACCACTGGAAGGAGTTTGTCACCCATCCCATATACGGAATACAACTCTGCTCCAGCAGCACCGACAATATTGCCACTGGAACTGGAATTGGCCTTCTCTTCATCAGGAGATTCTGAGCCATCCAATGAACCTTTTTTCCCCATTCTACGTATCCTCCTCTACCCAAAAGACCTGCACCAATTTGGGACCAATTTTTGCCTCATCTAACTAAGAGCTGGAGGTACCTCGTGCCGTGGGGGCCTCCATACTCCCTATTGACCCCTCCTACTGGCCATATTTGGGGCGTTGGGACCAGTACCATCCTGCAGATTTGGGCCGATCTGCCAGGGAGTCACTCCTTGCCGCCCCTCTAAGGGGCCACTCAGATCTGCCCCTGGATCCTACAGGGGAAGAGGAGCATTATGCACAAGATCTGGCAGTTCTGCCAGAACAAATAAAACAGCCGTCTTCATGTCCAGATGAAGCAGTGACACCCCCCCCCCCCCCTGTCTCCTCCCAACCCCCCCCCCCCCCCCCCGAATGACTTCAGACAGTTCCAGGATCTTCTTCGCAGAGTTGCTGGAGAACTACAGATTCCTTTTGAAGAGGTCTAGACTCTCATCATGAACTCCAAGACATTCTCCACTCCTCCAGATCCAACAGAATAACACTCCCCATTAATGAAGACATAGTGGAGCCAGGTAGGACTTTTTGGCACACCCCTGCCACCTGTGCTCCCAGAATTGTTGTTATGTGCTGGCCAAAGAAACAGAATTTTTGTTCTCTCATCGTGCTCCCTTGTGGTCCAGGCTGCTTCTGAAAGAGAGCAACATCCCTGGTCTACTTCTATGGATAAAGAGGGCAAACCCTTGGATCTGTTGGGAGAAAGATTGTTTCATCATCTAACCTACAGTTCAGGGTAGCCAGATACCAGGCACTAATGGTGTCCCTACCCTCTGTTTACCAGAAGCTGGGAATGCGCAACAGGGGATGGATCACTTGATTACCTGTTCTGTTCATTCCCTCTGGGGCATCTGGCATTGGCCACTGTCGGAAGACAGGATACTGGGCTAGATGTACCTTTGGTCTGACTCAGTATGGCCATTCTTATGTAATGGCTAAATACGACTTCCTAAACTATTCCAGGTTTGCAGAATGTACTGACAGCCTTCCTCACCCAGACAGAGCTTTTTTCCAAGCTCTGATAGATTAAGGCAAACTGATAGCCAATCCTACTTGCCAATCCACAGTAAATGCCATTGATACCTCCTCTAGACCTATTGCTACTGCCATTGTTATGTTCAGGGAGTCATAGCTCCATGCGTCAGAGTTCCCTAGGGAGGTCCAGTATACCATCGAGGATCTCCCCTTTAATGAACCACAGCTCTTCAACCAAAAGACAGACAAGTCCCTCTATACCCTGAAGGACTCTAGGGCTACCCTCTGCTCCCTGGGGATATATATGCCTCCCCAGATTTTCCACCAGAGGCCATATGAACCAGCACACAAGAGGCAAAGGGTTCACAAGAGCTGCTTCCTCACACCCTCGGCAACAGGCTCTGTCTCAATCTCTGCTCCTGGCTTGACATTATTTTTTATGGGAGCTTGAGAGCTGAGAACCACTAAGCTCAACACCTCCCAACCCCCACACACAATTTGGGGGTCATATAGCACACTTTTTCAACACCTGGAGTGCAATAACAACAGACAGACAGATGCTGAACTTCATCCACTCTGGCTATATGATAGAATTTGCATGCCCACCTCCCCCAAAACCCTGCTCCCCACCCTGCTTTGGGGATCGCTCTCATGAGAGTATTCTCAAACAGGAGGTGGACTCCCTATCAGAGCGAGGAGCACTAGAACATGGGAGTGGGTTTTACTTGACTTTCTTCCTGGTACTCAAAAAGAAGCATGGATAAAGACCTCTACCTGCAACATCTCAACTACTTCATTCAGAAACTCAAGTGTCGCATGGTCACGTTGCCATCTATAAGCCCATCTTTAGAAAAGGGCATGTGGTTTACAGCCCTAGATCTGAAGGACACCTACTTTCATGTAGACATTCATCCCGCTCACAGATGCTTCCTCAGATTCATGGTGGGCTCCAGCCATTTTCAATACAGAGTTCTCCCTTTCAGCATAGCAACCACCCCCGGAATATTTACCAAGATATTCTTGGTAGTAGTAGTTTATGTCAGATGTTGCAGTCTCATTGTCTTCCCCTACCTCGACGACTGGCTCCTTGTCGCCAAGTCCTGCCAGGAAGCCTATGTTTCAACTTCTGTAATGCTGCACCTCCTCTCCTCACTAGGAGTCAGCATAAACACCAAAAAAATCTATTCTTACAATCTCTGGACTTAATTGGGGCCACCTTCAATTCTATCACCACAAGAGCGTACTTGCCCAAGGACAGGTTCCAGACCATGAGCAATAATATAACTCAGATCACAAACAACCCTTGAGTACCAGTCAAGACATGTCAGTCTCACTTAGGTCATATGGCCTCATGCACTTACATCACCCTGTTTCTACAGCTCCACCTTTGACTGCAGCCATGTTTGAAGGCAATGGTATACTTTCCAAACCGCCATCCCATGATCACCATAGTAACAGTTCCAGCCAAAGCAGTGTCTTCCCTCCTATGGTGCACAAATCCTCATCAGGTATGCATGGGCGTATTCTTTCTCCTTTCCTCATCAGACAGGACCATATTACCGCTCCCAGGGTGACCCTCTACTTCTTCCTTGGTTGAACTAGTTCAAACTATGCTTTCCATTCTCTACTTCTCCTGCCATGAGTTCTACGCAAAATCCAGCAGGACAGGCACAGATCATCCTGATGACCCCCTACTGGCCCAGACATTTTTGGTTTCCCAACCTCCTACGCATGTCATCTTGGCTACCAATCATCCTCCCAATGTTGCCTGAGCTCCTGACCCAGTGGAATGACAAGATCAAGCCCCTTGATCTGTATCAACTACACTTCAGGGCTTGGCATTTGGATGGGCATCATCCTTAGAACGTTCGTGCTCCACAGCCATGTGAGACATCCTTTCTAATAGTAGGAAGGACTCTACTAGAAGATGTTACTTAAATAGAGGCCCTTTCTTCTTGGGCATGTCAAAGGAACATTCTCCCAGAAACTGCAGATACTCCTCTCATCTAGGATCATATCCTCTGTCTGAAGACATCAGGCCTGTACGTCAACTTCTTGCAAGTGCACTTGGAAAAAAGCAGAGCGTACCATCCATCTTCTCAGGGCTTCTTGGTCTTCACACATCCACCAACTACCAGATACTGGAAAGGCCTAATCACAACCTTCCTGCCTATTCAGAAGCGTATTCTCCAGGGGGACCTGAACTTTATTCTCAACACTCACAAGACCCACCTTTGAAGCTTTAGCTTCTTGCTCCATGTTTCTCCTTTCCATGAAGGTGGCTTTCCTCGTAGCCATCGCCTCAGCTGGAAGGGCTGACAAGCTTGGAGCAATGATGATGAATCCTCCTTATAGTATATTCCAGAAGGCTTGGGTTTCTTTGCATCTACACCCCAAATTCACCCCAAAGTAGTTTCAGAATTTCACCTTAACCAATCGATTCACTTACCTGTGTTCTTTCCACAACTGCACACTTTCACGGAGGAACAAAGACTCCATTCCCTCGATGTTCAGCAGGCCTTAGCCTTTTCCCTGCAAAGAACAAAGCCAATTAGGAAGTCCCGGAGACTATTCATTGCTATGGCAGAAAGAATCAGGGGGTGCACCATCTCCACTCAGAGAATCTACTAATGAATCTCTGGCTGCATTCTGTTCTGCTATCAGCTATTGAACCTTCCTCTCAGCCACCACGGGTTAAGAGCTCATTCGACAAGAGCACAAGCAATAACTTTGGCATCGCTTCAGGAAGTAAGTATCCTAGGTATCTGTAAAGTGGCCACATGGGGCTTGGTTCATACATTTGCGAGACATTATGCCCTGGTGCAGGACTCCTCTGATGATGCCTCCTTTGGGACAGCGGTCCTCTGCTAAGCTCTACCATCTGCATCCTCGCACCCTCCTCCTGCTTAAGTACTGCTTGTCAGACACCCACAGTGGAATACAATAGGGACCGTCACTTGAAGAAGAAGAGGAATATACTAACCTGTAAGTGGAGGTTCTTTGAGATGTGTGGTCCATATCTGTATTCCACTATCCACCTTCCTTTCCCTCCGCTTCAGATTTTTTCTGGTTCGCGGTAGAGAAGGAACTGGGGAGATAGTCAGTCCATCCTGCCCTTTATCCTCTTCGTCAGAGGCACAAGGTAAGCCACGGTGCATGCACGAACCAATGGATGCTACTTTCAAATTCTCCGGCTCTGGGTGCATGGTGCACATGTGTAAACGCACAGTGGAATACAGAAAGGGACCACACATCTTGAAAAATCTCCAGTTACAGGTCAGTAACTTCCTCTTTCTGTAACACTGAACAAGGAACTCTGTTAGAATAAGAAAGCCAGTATTATCCCTAAAGCCATCCTGTTTCTGCTTTACTGCAGAACTTCTCCTAGAACTTCCCTCCTGCTGCCTAACTTCCTGCTAGAAATGTAAGAGACAATCCATATAGCTTCACTAAAAGTGATGGCATCTCCATTTCCCATAACTGGTAATGCTTGCTTATCAGTTGTAACGTCCAGGTTTCCTAGGTAAACATAGCTGGCCCAGAAAGGGGCTTCCCTGTTGCAGAAGCGTTTCTAGAGCTGCTAAGGTCATTTTGCAACACAACAGCAGGCCTATGAGGATGTTAATTATACTCTTCAAAACTGTCATTTCAAAGAGTTTGTACATGGAAATTTGTGATCTGAGTCTGCTCTGCTTAGCTGTGATGACTTGGTGTGCTTAGCATGCTGCAGGCATTATTCTTTGTTTTTTCTATATAACAGGGATGAGTGAGGCTTTTAGTGCTAGATCGAAACCATCCTGTAAAACTGTAGGCCACCAACAAATAACACTTAAGCTAAATTGCTAGATGCGGCTCTGCTTGCCCATTCTTGGAATATGTAGCAGCTTCTTCCACAGGTTTTTAACAATGTGCCGGGGGATATTCCTCCTTTGCTTTCAGGTTCCAGTCCCTGTAACTCCATTATTAGACCCTCTGACAATGCTGACGGATGATGCTGATATAGCAGCCTGGCAGAATGAAGGCCTTCCAGCTGATCGGATGTCCACGGAAAATGCCACAATCCTCACAAACTGTGAACGCTGGCCCCTTATGGTTGATCCCCAACTCCAGGGTATCAAATGGATCAAAACCAAGTATGGCGAAGATCTCAGAGTGATCAGAATCGGGCAGAAGGGGTAAATGCAAGCCACCATACAGAATTATGTATTTTAATTGCTAGCTACAGTGTCCAACTTGAGGTACTTCGTGTGTTTATCTTCAGTGTAAGGACTACTGGAGCAAATTAGAATGGCTGGGGAAGCTCCCAAAGTTGTTTGTGTATTAATCTGTTTTTTTCATTACCAAGATGATAGAGATTTCTGTTTAAACATACGCGGGGCTGTTCAATGCTTGGCCTAGTTGCAATAGAAACCGCCTTAAAATGGAAAAGAAGGAGAAAAGAGATGTATGTGGGCACACCTGGATACCAGTTTTCTGCACTTGGGATGGTAACTCTCCACCCTGTGGCCTTAGTCCATTTCAGGCTCCCGTTGTGTTAGCATGTGCCTTATATTCTGCCCCAGCTGACTCTGTTCTACAATGGGGAAAAGGCAGAACAGATCTCACTTCTACAGGTCCTAGAAAGGAGGAGAGCCAAAGCAAATAGAATAGAGCTGCCATATTCATCAGGGGGTTAAGGAAACTGCCAGTCCCACTCCCTCTGCCATTTAATGGGGCCTTGCAAAGAATTCAGGGTTAAAGACAAAGGAGGAGTAGGGACAAGGTGTATATGGAAAGAACTCCCCTCTACTCAAAGGGGATCAAGGTGATGATTGGCTGGTTGGAATTCCAGTCCCGGAAACAGGCCAATCAGATTAGGGTTTTAAAGGGTTGTAAGAGCCCCTGGAGGGTGCTCCTGGCTGCTCATCATGAGTTTTAGTTGTTTAAAGCAGTAAAATGTGAAGTGATGAAAGTGAAGGAGACATCTCGACATCTAAGTGGGAACAGAAAAAATCCCATAAGGTCCACTCTGCCTGCCCTGTGATGCAGTTCCGCCTTTCCCCGTCTCCAGCTGCATGCCAGGGTGTCAGTTATGCACAGAAGGACGCTTTATTTGGAGGTGCAATGAGAAGAATCAAATACCCCCATTCACCCCCACCTTTGGCTGGCTGGCACAGGATGCTGGGGAAGCATCAGGTAACATCATGCCATTCCAAAACAGAATGATCCTGTGCAGGTGGCTAAGAGGGCATTACGAAGGGCTGGTTGAGAGGGAGGCTATGTACACACCATACTGTACAGAGGACTTGTATCACTATATTCCCATTGGCCTGGTGTTAATTCTTGGAGGTAGTGATTACCAGCAAATCCCAGACCTCCCAAGTTCAGCTTCATAATACATACTCTTCTCCGTGTGTAGCCAGTGAGGCTTTGTTCTCATCTTAAGGGAGCTATGTCTGAGTAGGAATGGTTTGTTTCTCTTAGCTGTCAGTAAGGGTCCTGTGTGCAGGCAGTGTCAGTGGGGAGTGGTAGTGAACCAGCTAGTTAGCACTACACGTAGTCAGCTGAAATCCAAGTCGTGCTGAGGACATGCTGGGAAAATCTGCACTACCAGAGAAGGTGCTTGCTTTGGCAGAGCATGTCTCCTTTACTGTTGTGTGTTCCCATAGGGAATTCTTAGATCTGACACACTCTCTGGGTCTGTCTACACTGCAGTCATGGGGTAGGATTGCAGCTCATGTAGACATACCTGAGCTACCTGTAATCTGGCTAGTTTGGGTACTGGGGCTGTGAAACCCTGGGTAACTCAAGTGGCTAGCCCACAATAAAGCCTTTGCTACTGTGGCTTCACTGCTCCGGTAACTGAGCTAGCTAGATTCGAGCTAGTGTGGATATGTCCACACAACTGCAGCCATGACTGGTGTTTGCAGTGTAGACATACTCTGTGCCTAACCATCTAAAGCTGTGTGGATACACAGACACCCTGGTCAGCAAGCTCTCTATGAAATGTAGTAGAAACCCCATTGGTTTTTCTACAGGAGGCCGACTGACTCCCCCACTCCTGCTCCTCGTTGTTTTTGTTGTGTTCTCATTCTTCAGTGGTGTTCCACAGCTTTCTCTGGCATCCCTCAAGGCTCATGCTCCTTGCTGCAGTGAGTAGAATCTGTGCTGAATGCTGATATTGTACCAATGCCATCTGTGCTAGGTATTTGGACACCATGGAACAAGCCCTTGCTGCAGGTGAAGTGGTTTTGATTGAAAACTTGGAGGAATCTGTGGATCCAGTTTTGGGAGCATTACTTGGCCGAGAAACAATCAAGAAAGGAAGGTGAGAGTCTGGGAGATTGAATGAAATATGTGTCTGTGGCCATCTCACTGTCTGGCCTTTTCCCAGTGTCGGCAGGAGAAGAGATGGGCTCTTTATGCTAATATCTTGCCTTTGCCCAACCTTAGGGTGTGTGTGTGTGTGTGTGTGTGTGTTTCTCACTTCACTCGTGTTCTGCTTTTGGGACTAGGGGTGAGATTTTAAATCATGGCAATCATAGATAGTCACTTGGAGTTGAAATAAACCTTTAGCTCCCTTAATTAGTCGGTTCCCTTAATCACTTGTCTCCCTGTATAGAAACAAATATCTCTCTCCCCTTATGTGGCAAAGACACCTCTGGACATTCCTAATGTCTATAGGTTGGGTAATTTTACTTCAAGTTATTGTCACACAGATTGTGAAGAAAAGATGCCCTCATGTTGTCCATCCTTGTTATTGGCTATTTGGGAATAAAGTTGCAGCTTTAAGTATCAGGAATACAGGGAGCAGAACATATTGGGAGATGGTTCTTGGGGTAATGACCAGGTGCCTTTCAGCATGAAAATATTCATACAAAGAGGCAGGAGAGCAGTGTTTCCTTTTTTGCTTCTTTTTGAGTGGGATTAAAATGACTGTGTTCTTAGACCCGTGTTCAAATAATAGCAAGAAATAGAAGTGTGTGTGCAGAGCTATGTGATTAACTTAACTTTGGGATTCTTTGGATGCTATCTCACTGGCTTTCACACAATGGAGTCGTATTTCTTTCAATATGTCTGTGTCATTCAGACTTTTAACGCTCTTTACATCTAGCTTAACAGGATCACAGCATTTGTGTGACCTCAGCTGTTTCTGCACCAGCTGTAGATGCAATCTCACTTGTGGCTTTGAATGGTAAACAACAAAGAGCCTGTTAAGCTTTGGATTGCACATTCCTTAAGATCCTCAGAGATTATTCCCTTACTGTTGAACACACTTAAAATATAATTGAATGATGTAAACTTCTGCGAAAACTAGGCTCTCCTTATTGTGAAAGTAAAGCATCAAAACCAAGATGGCTGTTTCAGTACCAAAAGTGATAGCTAGAGCAGAAAAATTTGAAAAAGGAGACAAGATTGTAGTGGATGTGACATGAAACTAGAATCTCTTCTGACAATGGCAGAACTAAAACACTCCCTTGTCAGTGGTGTATAGCTCCGTTCTAGAAAGTCACTGTGAAGTAATAACAGTTACTATTTGAAAAAGGGAATGTCGGCCATCCAAATGTCTAGTTTGCTCCTTGGTCTTTGGGTGGTTCTCTTGGGCATCCTGGGGAATGGGACTTACTTTCATGTTCAGAAACTCCACACGAAGGCACCAATCCTGCAAGCTGATCCACATGGACAGATGTCCTATTGATGTCAAGAGAAAGGATAGTCTTGTGGTCAAGGTTTTGGATGAGGACTCTGCATATCTGGGGTCAGTTCTGGGCTATGTTACAGGCTCTTTCTGTGACTGTAAATAAGTCATGTGATTTCTCTGTCTCTCCAATACGTATTGGTAAAATTGAGATGATAATATTCCCTTTCTCCCACTCCATCTATTTAGACTGTAAGGTCTTTGATGCAAGAACTGTCTCTCACTATCTATGCATATGTATGTGTATATGTATCTATGTATATGAAGGTATGTAACCTATTGCTCAAATCAGCCTCTGTACCAGATATAGTTAAAACACCACAACCCTCCTACTGTGGACACCGTCATACCAGTATAAAGGGGCTTATACCAGTATATCTGTCCCCATAAGGCAGAGGAATAAACTATATTGGCATAAGGCACTTTTATCCCAGTATAACTGCATCCAAACTAGAGCATGTACTACTATATCAGTAAAAAAAAATCACACCCTGAACTGAAATAGTGATTAAGTTCTGAAATAGTACAAAGTCCTGTATAGAGCCCACCTAAGATAAATGTACATTCTTCTCAGGACATAACATCACTATACCCCACATTCATCTGGGAATTCTGCTCTGATTCCTGCTGGCTGCATTCATGCCTAGGTTTGCTGTGCTCTGATATTCCTTCTGCACCGTCCCTCCCCTGTCATTATAAACCATAACCTATTTGTCAAATTGTGCAATATATAAAACAAATTGGAATTTTGTCTGTTATCTTACTTCTCACAGGCGACAGTGCAGTACAGCCAGTCTCCAGCCTTGGCTTCGTTTTTAAATCTCAGTGAGATCTATGCACCCAGCCTAGTCTGAAGAAAATAGGCTCCATAGTCATCAAGTTGAAACTTTTTTTTTTTTTTTAAGACAGACTGTTGGACTGCTTCAAAACTAGGAATGACTTACATTTGAGATCGAGCACCTCAAATGGGGACGGCCTGAAAGTCTAGACTATCTCAAACATGGGGATGTCTCAAATGCCATCTAACCATAATTGTTCTTAACTTGAAATTGATATCTGTGTATAGTGAGCATATATAATGTCTAATAGCATTTCACAACATGACATGCTATTAGACATGAATGACATTAGTAAGTGAGCTAAAAGAGCTTTGGAAGCCACATGAACATTTGCATCTGTTCATTCTATTTCAGGTATATTAAAATTGGAGACAAAGAATGTGAATATAACCCCAGTTTCCGTCTCATCCTCCACACAAAGCTAGCAAACCCCCATTACCAACCTGAGATGCAGGCACAGTGCACCCTCATCAACTTCACTGTAACTCGAGATGGCTTGGAAGACCAGCTGCTAGCAGCTGTAGTGAGCATGGAGCGGCCTGACCTGGAAGAACTAAAGGTAAGGCGCTGATAGCAAACACTGTAATTAAGGCACTATTGATAAACATTCAAAAATCATGAGTCAGGACCCAAAATCATGAGATTGGCGTTAAAATAATGAGATTTTAATAAAATAATAAATATTGGTTCTTTTTCTTTTCCTTCTGGGTTCGGAGCCACGTCTCCAGTTGCTAGGGCTTTAATTAAAATATCAAAAATTGTGCAGTTTGCAATAAAATCATGAGAGCTGGCAATGCTGCTAAGGATGGAATTCAGTTATAACTCTTGCTCCCACTTGCTCCTAACTTGCTAAAAAAATTCTCCTTTGGAGCTCAGACTTCACAGGCTTCAGTTTAAAGGTAACTTGTAAAAAAGCCTTCAGGAGATTCCACTCAGTCATTTTTCATTGATACGAGGTTTAATAAAACATACACACCGCAGAATATTATTGCCACACCTTTTCTCTCATTTTTTTAAAAGTCCTGCCCTCTTTGGGACAGCTTTGTGCTTTCTCCCTTTTCAGCCTGACAGGCCTCAGGAAATCCTGATGGCAAATTTTTGCAGGGGTGGCTTAACAGAAGGTAGTGTGTCTGCTGGGATAGCACCGAGGCCAAAGACTTGGTGGGTTCTAGTCCCACCTCTGCTACTAGTTTGCTCAGAAGAGTCACTTCATCTCCTTGTGCCTTGCCTTCCCTATCTGTGAAATGGAGAAAATGATACTCACTTCCTTTTTAAAGTGCTCTGAGATCTGTGGCTGACAAGTGCTATGGAAGAGGTGTATACGATATAATTGTTACGTGTGTCCCAGGAAAACATGCCTCCCATCAGGCAATGAGGAAAGTCATGGGCATGAGAAAAATTTACCAAACATGCTGTTTTAGAGTCCGAGCAGCAGCACAAATTTGAGCAATGCCTCCTTCGTCTCATTCTCCTCAATCAAGGGTGTTTCAAAACCTAAGCAGGACCACTGAAATTCAAATATTTAAATGTATAGAAGTCTAATTAAATGTATACCCCAAATAAAAAAATAGTAAGGGGACCAAAATAAAATGCTACCATGACTAAACAACAAAGTCAAAGAAGCAGTTAGAGGCAAAAAGGAGTTCTTTAAAAATTGGAAGCCAAATCCTACTGAGGAAAATACAAAGGAGTATAAACTCTGGCAAGTCAAGTGCAAAAGTGTAATTAGACAGCCCAAAATAACAATTTGAAGAGTAACTAGCAAAAGACTCAAACTAACAGCAAAAAAAATCAGAAGCAGGTAGTCTAGCAAACAATCAGTGGGGGCCACTGGACAATCGAGATGCTAAAGAAGCACTCAAGGCAGACAAGCTGTTGCAGAGAAGCTAAATTAATTCTTTGCATCCGTCTTCACTGCAGAGGATGTGAGAGAGATTCCCACACCTGAGCCATTCTTTTTAGGAGACAAATCCGAGGAACTGTCCCAGACTGAGGTGTCAAGAGAGAAGGTTTTGGACCAAATTGATAAATTAAACAGTATTAAGTAACCAGGATCAGATGGTATTCACCCAAGAATTCTGAAGGAACTCAAATATGAAATTGCAGAACTACTAACTATGGTATGTAACCTACCACTTAAATCAGCTTCTGTACCAGATGACTGGAAGATAGCTAATGTAACCCAGTTTTAAAAAAAATGTTCCAGAGGCAATCCTGACAATTACAGGCCAGTAAGCATAACTTCAGTACCAGACAAATTGGTTGAAACTATAGTAAAGAACAGAATGATCAGAGACACAGATGAACATGATTTGTTGGGAAAGAGCCAACACAGCTTTTATAAAGGGAAGTTGTGCCTCACTAATCTATTAGAATTCTTTGAGGGGGTCAACAAACATGTGGACAAGGGTGATCCAGTGGATACAGTATACCTGGACTTTCAGAAAGTCTTTGACAAGGCCCCTTACCAAAGGCTGTTAAACCAAAGTAAGCAGTCATGGCCTAAGAGGGAAGGCCCTCTCATGGATGGTTAAAAGACAGGAACCAAAGGGTAGGAATAAATAGTCAGTTTTCAGGAGAGAGGTAAATAGTGGTGTCCCCCAGGGATCTGAACTGGGACCAGTGCTGTTCAACATATTCTTAAATGATCTGGAAAAAGGGGTAAACAGTGACGTGGATGATACAAAATTACTCAAGATTGTTAAATCCAAATCTGACTGAAGAGTTACAAAGGGATCTCACAAAACTAGGTGACTGAGCAACAAAATGGCAGATGAAATTCAGTATTGATAAATGCAAAGTAATGCACTCTGGAAAACATAATCCCAACTATATATATAAAATGATGGGGTCTAAATTAGCTCAAGAAAGAGATCTTGAAGTCACTGTGAATAGTTCTCTGCAAACATCCACTCAATGTGCAGCGGCAGTCAAAAAAACTAAGAGAATGTTACGAACCTTTAGGAAACTGATAGATAATAAGATAAAACATATCATAATGCCACTATATAAAGCCATGGTACTCCCTCAGCTTGAATACTGCATGGAGTTCTGGGTGCCCCATCTCCAATAAGATATATTAGAATTGGAAAAAGTATGGAGAACGGCAACAAAAATTATTAGAGGTAAGGAACAGCTTCCGTATGAGGAGAGATTAGAAAGACCGGGATTGTTCAGCTTGGAAAAGAGACAACGGAGGGGATGTGTGATAGAGCTCTATAAAATCATGACCTGTGTGGAGAAAGTGAATAGGGAAATGTTATTTACCCCTTCACATAACACTAGAATCAGGGGTCGCCCAATGAAATTAATAGGCAGCAGGTTTAAAACAAACAAAAGGAAGAACTTCTTCACACGTGTGACTAGCGTTGATGGGTGCCCAACTTGAGGCACCTTGAAGGGCATGATTTTCAGAGGCCAGGTGTTCAATTCTTTCTAAATATCAGGTTGGACATCGAAAATGGAGGCACCCAAAATCGTTAGTCACTTTGAAATTCTTGGCCAAGATATTCAAAGGAAAAATCACATTAACGCAGTATTAAGGTTAAATAGTTAAATAAAATACCTTGGGCTCTACACAGGAGTAACAGGATGAAATTCTCTGGCCTATGTAATACACGAGGTCCAGACTAGATGATCTAATCATCCCTTCTGACTTTAAAATCTATGAATCCATGAAAAAGACAGGGCTTGCAGAAGTTAAGTTTCTAGAACAGAGTTAACTGGCCATACTGCACATCTTGCATATTTCATTATACATATTTAGCAATTTAGAAATATGTACTACTAAATGTTCACCTAAAACAGAAATAAAAAATAGTACACATGTTCATTTCAGATCTGTAGGGGTTCTAACTTTTTTGTATTAATGACTTTTTAAAATATTTTAGCTGTCCAGCCTTAATGATGCATTAGTTTTACACGCAATATTAAGGTTAAACAGTTACATAAAAACCCTGTGTTGAGCTCAAAGTATAACAGGATGAAATTCTCTGGCTTTTGTAATGCAGGAGGAAATCCAGATAGCAGCAATGGTATAGAAATGTGTAAACCACTGGTGTACTGTAAAGTGCAAGCCAACGCTATCCAGGTGGGGCTCTAACAAATCCATCTCCTGTGTACATCGGGCACAGAGAGGGGCCTGAAACACACTCTGGCCAGTGGGTCACAAATGCAGTCAACACACTCGTCTTCACTGGTTCATATAGGACTGGGTTGATGTAGGGTGCACCTGATTAGCATAGTTGTGCCACTAACTAGGACGCATTCCACCCAGCTTCAAAGTCATTTCATTTTAATGAAATAATGACACAATGGGAAAGGCAAATCCAATACACCGTGCAACTCTCAAATGCAATATTATGCTTTGGGGATTATTAGCTCAGTCGGATTCTGTGGTATTTACATCTCTGCTTTAAAAGAGAAGCTGCCTGTATTAGCGAGAGAGAAGTTGAAATGACGTGAATTAGGGGTCAGGTCTTTTTAAGCTCCTAGTGATTGAAGGGAGTGGATGCTTAAGGAGGAGGATTGGAAGGCAGCTCCTCAGCGCAGCTCCTAGACTGACCAGAAGGGGTCACTGCTGTCAGAGCTGCCTCTGGCGTGGGGAGTGAGGGCTCAAGTCACAGGATTGCTAGGCTGGCTTTTGAATCAGGTTAAGTGAAAATGCATGAGGAGCATTTTAATGCTTGGGATGCCACAAACCTCTCTCCACTCCTCTGTTGGGAATTCATCTTCCATTGCTGGAGTTTCAGATAAGCACACAGGCCAGCATTTTCAAACTCAGATCCCTAATGTTAAATCTGCAGCTAGGGGCCTACGGAAAAGTGGCCTGATTTCCAATGTGAGCTGTGGGTGCTCAGCACTTCGGAAACCAGGGCACTTATTTGCTTTGAAACTTTTGGGCTCAAGTTCCAATGGAGGGGAAGAAAAATGTTAGTGAGTGCTCCACAAGCTAAACTTCCAAGCACTTCTGCTGGCCACAGGGTGCACAAGACAAATCAAGCGGTTTATTTTGCAAAGGCAGGTCCTAATTTCTCAGGATATTTTCCCTGTGCTCGTTGGCCCCATTGCACTTGCTGCAGTCCCCAAGGGGGAAAGAGAGGTGGCTGTATGTCACCTCCATATTCCCACCCCATGCTTGGGCTTCCGGGGGCCAGTGTTAGGGCCAGGTCAGAGGCAACCGGTTGACACAGAGTGAGTTGCTCAGTATCAGGGCCGAAGGTCAGGGATCAGTCTGGGGCCAGGCCAAGTCCAAACCGCAGAGTCAGAGTCCGTTACCAAAGTGAGACTGTGAGGCGAGAACTGGGATGGGGCTGGGCCAGACTCTTTCACGGGGGTCAGCAGTGGTCTTAAGCCAGACATAGTAACCCATGATCAGAGTCGGGGGCCAAGCTTAGATTGAGCACAGGAATCACGGTGAGTCACAGCGAGGGGTGGTGAGCAGGGTCTGAGGCACGCCAGAGGTCTGCATTATTCAAACTCCTCCCAGAAATGGCTTCCTGATTTATGTGAGAAGTGCCAGCAAATCAGGAAACCCCAGAGGGCTGTCACGCATGCCCC